GTGTGTGGCAGCAATGCTTTGTTCCTGAATAAATCAGTCATTTGAATGAATCGGTTGAATCTCAATGACTCACTAATTAACAGTCACTTGCTGCCACCTACTGGCGATTTTAATTTCACATTTTGACTATTTTTTTTTTCATGTTTTAAATCATTCATTTCAAATATCAGTATTCAACGTTTTATGTTAAAAACAAAAGATTATTTATCCATCTGTAACTGCAGGTTAAATGCATCCATGTCCCCTCTGAGATACATTAAACTGTGTAAATACATCTAAATGCTATTTCAGATGCAGATTCCAGAAATGTTTTCTCATGTTGGAATGAAAGACAATAAGTACCGGATGAAGTGCTTCTTATTCTTACCCAAATATGCAAAATACAAGAAAAAGTTAAAACTGAACAGTCTTGCTACTCAAGCTGTGTATGAACATTTTTTATATTTATTTGCTTCTTTTACATTTTGCATTTACTTGTACTTTTACTTTCAATACTTAAGTACGTTTAGTACCTTTCCCTCGAGGATCATACGAGACTATTCGTGGAAATCGCCAACCTTACCCACCCCCTGGACTACTGCCACTGCACTTTCTACAAGACCAGCCTGAACGACGAGTGCAGAGCGGAGGTTGTCCGGAGATGGTCCTCGGGGGAATTTCGCCGCCTTTGTGGAGTGGGTGCTAGTGTCCTGTGGATCACCGCTGACTGTAGGCATCGCGGACGACGACACCAGTCCCACTTCAGACCCAGAGCCCAGCACACCATCACCCCGCTGCGCGGAGCCAAAGCCTGAGCCCACCGGAGACGGAGAGCCAGAGCCTGCCGCGACCAACGAGCCATCGCCAAAGACAGCGACAGAGCTGAGGATCGCCCCGGAGCCAGAGCCTCATATGAAGTCTGACCAGGTGCGAGAGCATGCGCCGGTGGATGAAACAAAGGAGCGCGAAGGCTGGGTGAAGAGCCACGCCCACTGAACCACCGTTGAGGGTGAGCTACAGAAGGACTCTGGGGATTTAATAAACTTTGATATGGATTTATATGTGGACATGTCTCGTCTTCTCCCGCCATCTTCTGTCTGTACCGTCTTGACCACGGAGGTCGTTTCCCTGTCCGCCGCACTCCCGCTATTGGGAGTGGCGAACGGGTGTGTATGGGCAGCACACACCTTCCCAGAAAGCGTGGACACTGACAAATTCCCACCCTCCCTCTCCTGCCTCCTCCTGTCATCCCTGCATCAGCTCTGCCAACGCTGCTTCCTGGCAGCCCCTCTGCTTACCCTCAGCCCACCATCTATGCGGTGGGATCGCCACGGATCTGACAGTCTCCATCGGCGTCGTGGCTGGAGGACCCCTCATCTCCTCCTCCAGCCTCCAAGTTCCTGACTCCGCCTCGGTCCGTCGACCCAGCGGCTCCACCATGGCTCCTAGCTCCCTCGTCTCCACCATGGCCCATCAGTCCACCAGCTCCGCCGGGCTCCATCGTCCCTCCGGCTCCGCCTTGGTCAGTCGTCGACCATCTGCCGCCTCGGGACTCCACTCCTCTGGCTGCGCCTCGTCCCTCTGGCTCTGTCAGGCTCCTCCTTCCCTCCGGCTCCACAGCGGTCCTCTGTCGCTCCGGCTCCACCGCGGCCTTCCGGGTCCCCGCCTCGGTCGCCGGTGCCATCTGCTGGAGGAGTGATCCTTGGCCCTCCGGATCCTTGGTGTCACCCTGGCTCATCGGCTCTCCGTCTCTGCCTCGGGCTCCTCCTCCACCTGCTCCGCCGCCGTCGGTCGGTCCCCTGGAGTCGCCAGCCCTTCCTCCCTCCGTCGGCTCCACCGTGGGCCGCCATCATGGCTGTGGCCTGGGTCCCGCCTGGCTCCTCCTCCTGCTCCGGTTCCTTTCTGTCATCACCCTGGCTCCTCCCTCCGTCTGTTCCTCCATTGATCCTCCTGTCTCCTCTGTGGCTCCTCCCGGTCATCTGGCCACCTCCTGAACCTCCTCCAGTATGTGTCTGCCTGCCTTCCTGCCAGCCCTTTTCCATCCCACTTCCACTCCTTTGTCCTCCTCCTAAATACCCCTCCGTCCCATCCCTTTTTCTCCACGGCGCGTGGTCGCGCCTTC